ATGCAGTCTCAGCTGCTGCTTGTGATGGTCCGGCTGCTGGCGCTGTTGTGTTGGCGATCGGATTTGTGGTCCAGGGCAAGATGACAGGGTTGAACAAGTCTGGCGAGAGGGAGCCCACTATCTTGATCAGGCGGCTCTCTGTCACACACGACAGCATGACATACAGCAGGCCGGGCGTGAAAGCATCCCGGGCATGGATGATTGTGTGTGTGGCGAGGGTTGCACCCTGCATACAGCATGAGCAATCCAGGTGCGGTTGTGGTGGTGTGGATGGCACGGTTAGCACAGGGTGCTTGGACGAGTATGGACATGCTGCCGTCCATGCATGTAAGGCTGGCTAAATGTCAGCAACAGAAGCTCGCACCTGTGCATGGTGTGTTGTTATTGCCCATGCAAGGCAGAGGGGGAAAGTGGACTTGAAGTATCGGACACCATTCAGGATCTTGTAGCGGGTGACACTGCGTCCCAGCGTGATAGTCTTCCCTGTGGTTGCTAGCTGGACCTTGACTTTATCGACATGGCCATCTGCATCGAACAGGAGCTTGGCCACATTGCCAGTCGCGCAATTGGCGGCTCCGCGGGCCAGGGAGATGTTGTCGGTTAAGCAGACGCGCATGCCGACGGCCACGCATGGCAGCGTCCGAAACGTGGGCTCCTGGAGCCATTGGTCCAGGGCCAGCATGGCGTCTGGGGCAGTGACATTGTGGGACAGGCGACAGGGGCGTACTTCGCCGAGGGCGGTGCCTTCCAGGCGCCACAGAATGGCTAGGTTGTGCTGCAGCGCATCCTCCTGATGGGTACACAGCACTGTCGTGTTTGCATCGCATGTGGCTGCCACCTGTGACTCCTCGATGAAGTGCATGTTGTCCGGTGTGCACACCCCAAACACAGCATCTAGCTCAGCCTGTGTGGGGGCGTGCTGCCGGATGATATCAAGCAGGCTGCTGTAGGCCGGGTCCTTCACATGCCGTACTGAGACGCTCAAGTTTAGGTGTGTGGCAGTGTGCCAATAGGGTGAGGCCGAGATGTGGCATCGTCGGCACACAGCTGTGGCAGCGGGTTCATCCTCGTGTGTGCGCTGATGCTTGCAGACAGGCACCAGCTGCGGAGGTGCAAGTGAGGGGGAGGGGGAGGGGGAAAAGAGGGGGGGAGGGGGGCGCAGTAGCAGGCCGATGACAGAGGGCAGCATGCGACAAGCACTGTAAGTGCATGGTGTGGAGGCTGAGCACCACGATGCCTACCTCCCCCGAGCGGCAGTACTGTGCACAGGTGTGCACCTGCGCATCATCGCCAACTAGGATGATGAGCTTCTTGTGCAGCATGGCATCGATGGAGGGCTCTTCACTGGCATGCCACAATGTGATGAGAATGTGCATCAAGTTCTCTGCAGTCATCATGGAGAACTCATCCAGGATGAGGACATCAGCTGCATGCTAGCCTTCTGGACATTAAGCAGGGGCTGTTGTATTTGGGCACGATCACACTTCACGTTGCATACATGTCCCACAACGACTCGTGTGTGAACGGCGGCTGCTGCCCATACGGACACCAGCGCTTGGGATGGTCTATTGCGTCAGCGTTGGGGAGGGGGGGCGCTGCTCCTTTCTAGGACGGCTCATCGCGTGCTCGGGGGCATGCTGGGTAGCGTGCGAGCTCACCCATCGTGTTGCCTGTTCTGGCATGTCCGTCCAAGCGAGAAAGAAAACTTGTACCTAGGCCTTATACTTCGATACTACAACATAGCAGAGGACCGACGCGACGTGTACTGTAAACGCGCTGTTGTTGTTGTTGTTGTTGTTGATGGGGTGTTACACTGTGGGCGGCTCGCCCGATAAAGGACGAGCACCAGGGGCCCTGACCGGGCCGAAACACAGCGCAGGGATGGGCGCGCGGCTTTACGTCCGTCTGTTCCTCCGCGCGCGCCTCATTCCCTCACTCACGCCAACCGGGACGCTCTCCCAGCCCCTGGCTAGGCAACACAGCGGCGCAGAAGACTGCTAACCGATCTATGCAAGAACTGCA